GTGTACTTAAGTACACATTACATACATGGAATCAAACATACATATTTTGACATATAAGTCTACAAAATGACATTTCATGTTAACATTTGCATGAAATGGAAACTTGAAAGCTACTCGACATCCAAGGAATGCTAGGCTTCACGAACCAAGTCTTCATACCTGAAATATGCCCCAGTATCGTAGGGGTGAGTAACGTAAAGCTACTCGTAGGAGATGAGCATGCATCAACCTAGCATTTTACAAATTTATCACCTTAAGGTGAAACATATTAAAGGGACTCATGCCACCTAACGTCTATGTCCAAGTGAGACTCGGGGAGCATCCTAAGCTACCTTAGAGTCTAAGCAACAAGAATCATGATATACATACGTGTATGAAACGAATCATGGTTGGGATAATCTAAAGAACACGACAAGAAGAATGCTTGAGCATATATTAACATGAATTGCATTTTCAATACAATTGAACTAGGTCTAGAGTAATCCATACAACATAACAAAAGCATAGTTGAATACAAGTTAACAAGAATCACATTATCCATGCAATTCAACAACAAAAGAGCATGTTATACAATGCAACAAGGTTTAAGTTCTCAAAGCCTTCAACTTAGAATCTAAAGCACAAAATAACAGTAGTGGTTCATGCCACCTAACGTCTATGTTATAAATGAATCAATAGGAGCAATCCTAAGCTTTATTAGAACATCAAAACACGATTTTCAATATCGATACAATTTAACCAACATTGGAACTTCTAATACAACGCATAAAGCACAATTTCGCAAAGTTAACATCCTGTAACTTAAAATGGAACGACAAATAAGAAACAACAAGTTACAACATCATCTAGTTATCAACTTGAAAATGAAATGCGAAATCAAATAAAGTGGATACTCGGACGTCACGCCGGATCAGACCGACAACATAGTTACTTTAGGGTTACTAGTCCATGGGTAACCTCCCTATGTGCGCACTAGACTATATATAGAGGGACTATCCCCCGTACTAGAACCACGTCCTAGTCATAGCCAAACAACGACATCCCCAAGTTTCCAAAATCAACAAGTTGTGCAATAACGTATATATCAACAGGAATATGCAAGATAATCAACTATCTACCAAGCACAACCAAATTTGGAAACCTATACAATCCATGCTCTAAGTCCTCAACTAATATGATGTGATGAATGTTGAATCTTCAGTGTGCGATTCGTTACACGCTATGCATGAAAGATGTTAAACACGAAGTGTGCAAATCATTATACATGGCAACAATATATTCAATAAGGAAAACATATTCTCATGAATACAAACATAGCAACTACGTTATCCAATGTTCAAAACATAACCAAATGAATATACAACAAGTCCAAGTCCATGATTTTGATATAGAAACGACTTTCAAACACAATTAAATCCATGGCTCAATTCGATAGAATTTAATTAAATAAAAATAATTAAATTCCCTATATTCTAATTTAATTCCAAATAACCTCAAATTAATACATATTAAAGAACATGGCATGGTCATTACCTATATCCATTCTAAAACTCAATTAGGTTATTGGAACAACAAAGTAGAACTCTAATTAAATCATGTTAATTTAATTACCAAGGTTCTAAAGCAACTTCAAATGGTCCACAATTAATATATACTAGTAAACAAGTCATGGCCAATACAAATATCAAGTTAAAATCTGAATTAAGCTAATGGGACCACAAAATAGATTTTAATTAATTCTTTTAATTAAAATCTCTAGATTTTCAAACTTAACCAAATGCTCTCAAATTAACCTATGTTGGAAAGCATGCCAAGAACTAATATAATTTTACATTACAAGTTTATTTCATTCAATTTAAGACCGTGTGGATTAAACTTTCACTAAAGTTAAATATAAATTAAAAGTTGCAATTCTCATGCAATTAATCCCAATTTAATATATGTGAACAACTATACCTAAGCTTAATTTTCTAGCATGCCACAATTCAATTCCAAGTTGTATATCACCATGAGGAATAAATCTTAAACAAGGAAATTAATTAAATGAAAGGTTTCAAAACCTCACCGAATATTCTAAATCAAATATATGTGAAGTTATATGGCATGTAGATCAAGAATATCAAGTCGGAATTTAAATAGAGTGAATAGTGCACTCGGGGAAAATTAATTAATCAAATTAATTAATAATTACTAATTTTCAAAATACCTCCAATTACTTTCAAATTCAACTATGTTGGAGAGCATGCAAAGGCCTAATTTAATATGCTAATACAGATTGATTTTAAGCTAGTTAAGGCCATGTGAATTAATCTTTCACCTAAGATAAATATTAAATAAAATCTTTAATACTTATTCAAATGTTCCAATTTTAATACACGACAATGAGCATATCAAGGAGCAATATAAAATCATGCTGCATATTTAAACCAAGTCATGAGCAACCGGAAAAATTAGATCCCGTACAAGAAAAATAAATAATAAAATCTCTAGATTTTATATTTAATCATGCAAACAAGTAGTATAAGCATCACAAGCATGCTATATAACAAGAATTTAAACCTAAAACATCCCCTACCTCAATTTGAGATGAAAATCTCTAATGCCATCAAAATGGAACGGCTCAAAATCCGACGAAACTACTAGGTTTTGTCAGGGACAACGCCGTGAACATAACCCCCATGAAAGCCCCATCAAAATCATAACTTGACCTCAAAATCAAACTCAAGAAATGGTCAAAACTGAATTCTAATAAGGGGGGAAAGGTAGAGCACGGCGAGGGGAACAACAAACGTTAAGGCCGAAGACTTTCCATTAAGGAAAAGTGAACCAAAAGAGGAGAGAGAAGATGGCAGCACCCCTTGGGCAGCCATGGGAGCTCCAAGTCGTGCATGAAGAGGGGAGAAGATGAAAAATGAAATATCTCACCCCCCTTTTATAGAAATCTCAAAAAGTGCCCCGAACGGGCCCCACCGGGTCCGAAAAAGTAAAATTTGAGCAGACGCACTCAAATGGCAAAACTTTGTGAATAAAAAAGATTCAAAATGATAAAATATGAACAATGGAAGAAACGGCGTCGAAAACCGAGTCCTGAGCAGAAAGTTATGCCCAAAACAAGTTTGGCGAAAATTGGGGCCAAAAACTCTGAAATTGGAAAACATCGACCAGGAGAAAATTCCAAGAGTACACAACTCGACGAAATGTGAAAATAAATCCCGTACGAGGATCCAGACTCAAAACAAGACATTTTGCAATAACTTTCATTAATTACAGAATGGCCCCTCCAAAAATTAAAAACTGCACTTATGGCCCAGAATGAAAATATCTTCCAAAAATATTTTCTTAAAAACCCCTAAAATAAAATATCGTCAAAAGATATTTACAAAAAAACCCCAAGAAAAGAAAATAATTTCAAAGAACTTTACATCCATGCCCCTATGGACACCGGGAGCAACCAGAGTACTTTCTTGTAAAAGTGAAAATACGTATTTCGAGGAAACCACTCAAGATGAAGGCACGTGAAGTCAAAAACCAACTCCGAGCATGAGAAGTGAGGTTGTGCCAAAAACTGACAAACAGAGATAAGACGAAATAGGGAAAAGGACGAAATAGCGCATAGTATCGAAAAACGAAAAATGTGAAAATGATTCGGTCCTCAAAGGAAGTTGTCAATTCACATGAAAGAGTCTCAGAAATCAATTCCGAGCACTCGAGATGACACTAAGCGACACGAAACAGAGCTTAGAAAAGAAAATTAAACGAAAAAAATTTATTTGTAAAATTTCAGAAAAAAAGAAAGGAAGACAAATGACCGGGTCATTACAAAAGGTACCTTTATTGAGGTACTTTCATTTAAAGATTCAACATATACTCATTAAAACACTCTTCGCGACTTCATAGGTAACACGAATAATTTTTAATTAAAACTCTTGTTTTGTTTCAAAGATTCAATCTATATACATTAAAAAGGTTTAGTGACATAAAAAGATACTTTTATTGAGATATTTTCAAAAAAAATTCGATCTTTACTCATTAAATCACTCTTCACCACTTCACAGGTAATGTAACAACCCGGATTTTTAAGTGTTGAAATTCAATTTATTTCATGACGTTTAAATTATCATAGTTGATAATTTATTTTTTTTATTTGAAGACTTACCCAATTTAAATATTTATTGGGTTTAAATTATTGTCACAAGGTATGCACTTGTATATATATATTTATGATATATATATTAAGTTTGATTGAGCATTTATTTTAAATTGAAGATTTACCAATTAAAAATTGGGTCATTGATAGAATTGGAGACTATAGTTTATATTTAATTTTAATTTCATTGCATGATTTTTGTTATCATGATTGGAAATGCCAGGTGCCGAAATTAAAGATAGAAGAAAGAAAAATGGAAATTGTGTTTGCAGCGGAACCCACGAGGAGAGGATGGGCTGGAATTTGGTTTCATTTGTATTTATATTATATTTTATATATATATATATATACACATATGCAATCTCATGGATGCAAGTGGGTTGACCGACATAGAAGAGAAAGAAATGAAAAAATGGATTTGGTGATGTAATTTACGGGTCTCACTTAGAGATATTTGTCAGGTTTGATATAAAATATATATATATATATATATATATATATTTTTTTTTTTTTTGTGTCTATTGGAAAATGGTGGGCTGCCAGCGAAATGGAGTGGGAAGAGAAATGAGTTTTGATTTAGTGTTATATATATATATATGATTTATATATATATTGTGTACCTAGTAAAAGGACAAGGCCAGGTGCCGAAAATTGAAAAGGAGAGGTGCAGCAGCGAAATGAAGGAATAGAGAAAGGAAAATTGTAATGATAATTTATGGGGTCCACCACTTGATTTATGTTTTAATTTGTTGCATATATATATATATATATATATATATATATTTTGGGGCAACATAGTGCTGCCAGCGAGATTGAAAGAAAGGGCATTGAGATGGAAAATGGTGATGAGGTGGCGGGCCATTAAGAGATTTTTTTGTTTGGCAATTCATTTCTTTGACTTCGTGGGCTGTTTGGTGTACAATTGATTGTATGGGTAATGAAAGAATAAGGAAAAGTAAGAAAAGGAGAAAATTGGTGGCGGGCCCATGGCATTTAATCATTGTTTTGATATTTTATTTCATGGTGAGCTGTATTGAGATTTTTTTTTTTTTGTCGGTGGAAAGCCATTATATAGTTTGGAATTTGTGCCTCATGGGTGAGTTAATTTGAGAAGACAAATAGAGAAATATAGAGGAAATACAAAGAGAGTGTGAGGATACAGAAAGACGGCCGAGACTCAGAGGATGCCGAGAATTGTGGCCTTGATAATCCAGAGTTGATTTATCTATTTTGCAGTGTAGGGTTCTTTATACCTTGAATTGCGTGGGTGATTTTATCTTAAATATTTTGTTAATGCTGTTTTGTTAAATTGCATATATATATATATATTTTTGTTCAAAAATATATTTATAATTTGTGAAATTAATTTTCATAAAAACTCTTTGAGATTCTTGTTATGGTTTTTCCTACTGGGACGTTCCCCATCTCACCCCTTACAGTTTCAGGTACCGAGGATAAGCTTGGATTGCTAGTTTCGGGATTAGGTGGAAGAATAGGAGTTGAGGAATTAAATTACTTTATTTAGAGATTTTTATGTTTTTATCTGAGGAAATTGATTTAGTGTCAATTTAATTTAATTTGAGATGTTGTATCTTAATATTGAGGAAATTTGATTGCGTATCAATAAAGAGTATTTCATTTATTTGAGATCCTGGGTGTATATTGAAGAATTTTGATTTAATAAATCGAGGAATTTATTTAGAAAAAATTTGGGGCGCGACAGGTAACTCGAATAAGTTTAAATCAATACTCTTATTTTCTTTCAAAGATTCAACGTTTATACATTACAAAGGTCTAGTAATATTATAAGTACCTTTATTGAGGTATTTTCATTCAAAGATTCAATTTTTACTCATTAAAACACTCTTTGGGACGTCAAAGGGAACTCGATTAAGTTTCACTCAAAACTCTCATTTTCCTTCAAAGATTCAATCTTTATACATTAAAAGAGTCTAGTCACATAATAGGTTCCATTATTTAGGTATTTTCATTCAAAGATTTAATCTTTAGTCATTAAAATACGCTTCGCGACTTCATAGGTAACTCGAATAAATTAATCTCAAAACTCTCATTTTCTTTCAACAATTCAATCTTTTTACATTAAAAAGGTCTAGTGACATACTAGGTACCTTTATTGAGGTATTTTCAATCAATGATTCAATCTTTACTCTGTAAAACACTCTATGGGACGTCAAAGGGAACCCGAATAAGTTTAACTCAAAAACCTCATTTTCTTTCAAAGATTCAATCTTTATACATTGAAAAGGTGTAGTGACATGAAAGGTACCTTTATTGAGGTACTTTCATTTAAAGATTGAACATATACTCATTAAAACACTATTCGCGACTTCATAGGTAACACGAATAATTTTAAATTAAAACTCTTGTTTTGTTTCAAAGATTCAATCTTTATAGATTAAAAAGGTTTAGTGACATAAAAGGTACTTTTATTGAGATATTTTCAATCAAAGATTCGATCTTTACTCAATAAAACACTCTTCGCCACTTCATAGGTAACTCGAACAAGTTTAAATCAATACTCTTATTTTCTTTCAAAGATTCAACGTTTATACAATAAAAAAGTCTAGTAACATAACAGGTACCTTTATTTAGGTATTTTCATTCAAAGATCCAATTTTTACTCATTAAAACACTCTTTGGGATGTCAAAGGGAATTCGAACAAATTTCACTCAAAAGTCTCACTTTCTTTCAAAGATTCAATCTTTGTGCATTAAAAAGGTCTAGTTACATACCTTTATTGAGGTATTTTAATTCAAAGATTTAATCTTTAGTCATTAAAACACGCTTCGCGACTTCATAGGTAACTCGAATAAGTTAATATGAAAACTCTCATTTTCTTTCAAAGATTTAATCTTTTTACATTAAAAATGTCTAGTGATATGCTAGGTACCTTTATTGAGGTATTTTCATACAAAGTTTCAAACTTTACTCTGTAAAACACTCTTCGGGACGTCAAAGGGAACTCGAATAAGTTTAACTCAAAAACCTCATTTTCTTTCAAAGATTCAATCTTTATAAATTAAAAAGGTCTAGTGACATAAAAGGTACCTTTAATGAAATATTTTCATTCAAAGATTCAATCATTACTTATTAAAACACTCTTCACGACTTTATAGGAAATATAAATAAGTTTAACTCAAAACTCTAATTTTCTATCATGGATTCAGTCTTAATACATTAAAAAGGTTTAGCGACGTACTAGTTACCTTTATTAAGATATTTTCATTCAAAGATTCAATCTTACTCTGTAAAACACTCTACGAGACGATAAACGGAACTCGAATAAGTTTAACTCAAAAATCTTATTTTCTTTCAAAGATTCAATCCTTATACATTGAAAATGTCTAGTGACATAAAATGTACCTTTATTGAGATACTTTCATTTAAAGATTCAACATATACTCATTAAAACACTCTTCGCGATTTCAAATTTAACACGAATAGTTTTAAATTAAAACTCTTGTTTTGTTTCAAAGATTCAATCTATATACATTAAAAAGGTTTAGTGACATAAAAGGTATTTTTATTGAGATATTTTCAATCAAAGATTCAATCTTTACACATTAAAACATTATTCGCCACTTCATAGGTAACTCTAATAAGTTTAAATCAATACTCTTATTTTCTTTCAAAGATTCAACGTTTATATATTAAAAATGTCTAGTAGCATAATAGGTACCTTTATTGAGATATTTTCATTCAAAGATTCAATTTTTACTCATTAAAACACTCTTCGGTACGTCAAAGAGAACTCGAATAAGTTTCACTCAAAACTCTCATTTTCTTTCAAAGATTCAATCTTTATAGATTAAAAAGATTTAGTGACATAAAAGGTACTTTTATTGAGATATTTTCAATCAAAAATTCAATCTTTACTCATTAAAACACTCTTCGCCACTTCATAGGTAACTCGAATAAGTTTAACTCAATACTCTTATGTTTTTTTTCAAAGATTCAACGTTTATATATTAGAAATGTCTAGTAACATATTAGTTACCTTTATGGAGGTACGTTCATTCAAAGATTCAATTTTTACTTATTAAAACACTCTTCGGGACGTCAAAGGGAACTCGCGTAAGTTTCACTCAAAACTCTCATTTTCTTTCAAAGATTCAATCTTTATACATTAAAATGTCCTAGTCACAGAATAGGTTCCTTTGTTGAGGTATTTTCATTCAAAAATCTAATATTTAGTCAATAAAATACGCTTCCCGACTTCATAGGTAACTCGAATAAGTTAATCTCAAAACTCTCATTTTCTTTCAAATATAAATCTTTTTACATTAAAAAGGTCTAGTGACATACTAGGTACTTTATTGAGGTATTTTCATTCAAACATTCAATATTTACTCTTTAAAACACTCTACGGGACGTTAGAGGGAACTCGAGTAAGTTTAACTCAGAAACCTCATTTTCTTTCAAAGATTCAATCTTTATACATTGAAAAGGTCTAGTGACATAAAAGGTACTTTTATTTAGGTACTTTTATTTAAAGATTCAATATATACTCATTAAATCACTCTTCGCGACTTCATAGGTAACACGAATAATTTAAAATTGAAACTCTTGTTTTGTGTCAAAGATTCAATCTATAAACATTAAAAAGGTTTTGTGACACAAAAGGTACTTTTATTGAGATATTTTCAGTCAAACATTCGATCTTTACTTATTAAAACACTCTTCACCACTTCATAGGTAACTCGAATAAGTTTGAATCAATACTCTTATTTTCTTTCAAAGATTCAACATTTATACATTAAAAAGGTTTAGTAACATAATAGGTACCTTTATTGAAGTATTTTCATTCAAAGATTCAATTTTTACTCATTAAAACACTCTTCGGGACGTCAAAAGGAACTTGAATAAGTTTCACTCAAAACTCTCATTTTCTTTCAAAGATTCGATCTTTATACATTGAAAGGGTCTAGTCACATAATAGGTTCCTTTATTTAGGTATTTTCATTCAAAGATTTAATCTTTAGTCATTAAAACACGCTTCGCGACTTCATAGGTAACTCGAATAAGTTAACCTCAAAACTCTCATTTTCTTTCAAAGATTCAATCTTTTTACGTTAAAAAGGTGTAGTGACATACTAGGTACCTTTATTGAGGTATTTTTATTCAAATATTCAATCTTTACTCTGTAAAACACTCTACGGGACGCCAAAGGGAACTCGAATAAGTTTAACTCAAAAACCTCATTTTCTTTCAAAGATTCAATCTTTATACATTGAAAAGGTCTAGTGACATAAAAGGTACCTTTATTGAGGTTCTTTCATTTAAAGATTCAACATATACTCATTAAAACACTCTACGCAACTTCACAGGTAACATGAATAATTATAAATTAAAACTGTTATTTTGTTTCAAAGATTCAATCCATATACACTAAAAATGTTTAGTTACATAAAAGGTACTTTTATTGAGATATTTTCAATCAAAGATTCGATCTTTACTAATTAAAACACTCTTCGCCACTTCATAGTTAACTCGAATAAGTTTAAATCAATACTCTTATTTTCTTTCAAAGATTCAACGTTTATACATTAAAAATGTCTAGTAACGTAATAGTTACCTTTATTGAGGTATTTTCATTCAAAGATTCAATTTTTACTCATTAAAACACTCTTCGGGACGTCAAAGAGAACTCGAATAAGTTTTACTCAAAACTTTCATTTTCTTTCAAAGATTCAATCTTTATACATTAGAAAGGTCTAGTCACATAATAGATTCCTTTTTTGAGGTATTTTCGTTCAAAAATTTAATCTTTAGTCTTTAAAACACGCTTCGCGACTTCATATGTAACTCGAATAAGTTAATCTCAAAACTCTTATTTTCTTTCAAAGATTCAATCTTTTTACATTAAAAAGGTCTAGTGACATACTAGGTACCTTTATTGAGATATTTTCATTCAAAGATTCAATCTTTACTCTATAAAACACTCTACGGGACGTCAAAGGAAACTCGAATAAGTTTAACTCAAAAACCTTATTTTCTTTCTAAGATTCAATCTTTATAAATTGAAAAGGTCTAGTGACATAAAAGGTACCTTTATTGAGGTACTTTCATTTAAAGATTCGACATATACTCATTAAAACACTCTTCGTGACTTTATAGGTAACACGAATAATTTTAAATTAAAACTCTTGTTTTGTTTCAAAGTTCAATCTATATACATTAAAAAGGTTTAGTGACATAAAAGGCACTTTTATTGAGATATTTTCAAACAAAGATTCGATCTTTACTCATTAAAACACTCTTCGCCACTTCATTGGTAACTCAAATAAGTTTAAATCAATACTCTTATTTGCTTTATAAGATTCAACGTTTATACATTAAAAACATCTGGTAACATAATAGGTACCGTTATTGAGGTATTTTCATTCAAAGATTCAATTTTTACTCATTAAAACACTTTTCGGGATGTCAAAGGGAACTCGAATAAGTTTCACTCAAAACTCTCATTTTCTTTCAAAGATTCAATTTGTATACATTAAAAAGGTCTAGTCACATAATAGGTTCCTTTATTGAGGTATTTTCATTCAAAGATTTAATCTTTAGTCATTAAAACACGCTTTGCGACTTCATAGGTAACTCGAATAAGTCAATCTCAAAACTTTCATTT